ACATAGTCCCTCCAGTGTGTCCTGGGTCTTCCCCTGGGCCTCCTCCCAGTGGGACGTGCTCGGAACACCTCACCAGGGAGGCATCCAGGAGGCATCCTAACCAGATGAACAACCTCAACTGACTCCTGTCAACGTGGAGGAGCAGTAGCTCTACTCTGAGTCCCTCCTGGATGACTGAGCTTCTCACTCTCTCTCTAAGGGAGAGCCCAGCAACCCTGTGGAGGAAACTCAATTCAGCCGCTTGTATCTGTGATCTTGTTCTTTTGGTCACTACCCAAAGCTCGTGACCATAGATGAGGGTAGGAACGTAGACCAACTGGTAAACCAAGAGCTTTGCCTTCTGGCTCAGCTCTCACTTCACCACAAACTTTGAACATGTTCCGGGGGAGGTGGGGGACATTGAGTCCGAGTGGGCCATGTTCCATGCCTCCATTGTCGAGGCGGCTTACCTGAGCTGTGGCCATAAGGTTGTCGGTGTCTGTGGGAATTCCTAGTTGGAAAAAGTACTTGTACTTTGTTGCATCCCACAATTTCACATTTAATCAGTCGTACAGGACCTTTCAGTGTTTATAAGAAGACAGGTTAAAACACTGTTTCAATGCAGAAAATACCAGGCAGAGCTAGGGTTGGGCAATATTGGCAAAATAATTAATCACGATTAATTGTGGTATTTAGCCAATAACGATTAATTTGGCGATTAATGCCCTGGAGTCCCTGRACACCCTCATGTCCTGGTCACATGACCAATTTAGTGGGAAAGATTTGCTCTTTGCAAAAATCTGTTCCRAATTTTGTCAAAATTACAGACTTCAGGCTATACATCAAATTTTTAATTGTGTTGATAGACCAAGAAAAACTGGAGTTATGATAAATAAATTACAGAACTTTTTTGTTGTTTTAATGTTCATCATATTGGACGCAGAGAGGAGCATTGAGCGGACTGGTTGCATTAATCTTATTAATCATCAAGTGCCCAAAAATAATCGATTAATGTTTTTCTGACGAGTAATCGCACACGATACGATTATGCCCAACCCTAGGTAGGGCTCAGTTAGTATTTGTTAGCGGTGCTCAGTCGTAGCATTGAGGCTAGAAACTTGATGATTCGTGTTTAGTCAAAGTTAAACATGAAAGGTCAAAGGTAATTACAACTGGCCCTTTGATGCCACCATATCGCTCATGTGGCCCTCAGTGAAAATTAATTTGACGCCCCTGACAGAAGGTCAGATTAGATTTTACAACAGTGGATGTGAGAGTTCACAAAAGCCAGCAAGAGAGAGAGACGGAGGATTGATGGAAAAAGGGTTCTAATTTATTTACAAAAACTCAAGAATCTGCAGCTTTGGGCCCATAAAAGAGGTCAGCATAATAAACTTCACCTAAGGTACCAACTTGGGAACTAAAGCAAAACTGACCTACTTGATTAAGACATGCGGCCTTTCCCAATCAGTGGCTCCTCCCTCCCCCTACACACTACACTCACTGTGAAGCCCCCTCGCAGCTGAACCGAGTCCCTTTGATGGCGCTGTATACACCCTCCTCTTTTGAGACGAGCTCTCCTCACACCACCGGAACAGGAAGCTGTCGTCACCATGGTAACAGTCTAAGCTTTAGCAGCGACTGAATGCTGGAGAACAAACACAGTCAGATTGTCTAGAAAGCACCTTTTTTAATAGACCAAAGAAAATATTTACTTAGGCCCACATTTTAGAGAGTTTTCAGATCTCTGTATTTGTAACAAATACAGTGATAGCTTGTCAAAATAATTACACTTTTAACATATTTAAATCATTTCTTAACTTTTTATTTTCTTCTTTTTTAAATATGGACCAGGGTTCTGTGTCTTAAATAAAGTTTTAATTGAATTAAACATGATTTATTGAATTTATATTTGTTGGTGAGGTATTTACTTAGTAAATTTGTGTGCAAAACAAATGCAGAACTTATATTTATACGTCCCGTCCTCCATACCGACCACTATTTGGTGCTGCACAAGTCTGCATTGGATGCTGACTCGCTGCATTGGTTTCAGATGGGACTTAATATGGCCAACCCTCCGCGGGCATGTGCAAACAGTGTGAGTAGGGCGAGGGTGTAAGCCACTGATTGGGAAAGGCCCTTGAGGAGAACTTATAAAGTGGCTGATCAGGCCGTTCTGACACAAAGTGGGGAACAAACAAAATATATATACTAAATTACAAATAATTCAATTTAATTCAGTTTATTTATATAGCGCCAAGTCACAACATACATTGTCTCAGGGCACTGTACATAAAAACAATCTAAAGAAGCAGATTGTGTTGAATCACTTCATCACAGTCTCCCATCCTGAGCAAACGGTGTAGAGGAAAAACTCCCTGCTAATCAGGAAGAAACCTCCAGCAGAACCAGGCTCAGGACAGGCGGCCATCTGCCTCGACCAGCTAACAAAATCTGATCAAAGTAATACTTAACTTTAATCTAAGAAAATAAATATTCACAGTCTCAAAAATTAACCAAAGGAAACATCAGAAATGAAAATACAAGGTTTAACTTTCCCCTCTGTTGACATGCAACACAGAGTGACCTAATGAAGCTGAGACTTCTAGATGTGTTGCAGCTGGCTCTGTTTACATTGAGTGACAGGACACCTTCAGCAGCCTCCCCCAACTCAAAGAAACAAAAGTTAAATCATAACAGATGAAAAACAAACCACAAAATTTGATAAAGAAAGTTAACTAAATGTGTGCACTCCAAATAATTAACGCCAATATCAAATGATGCTAAAATGAGAAATTAGAATGCACAACTACTTAAATTGTAAATGATTTAACTTAGACTGATGAAATGTATCTGCATTTACAAACAAAAACCCATAAGATACAAAATAATAATAATAATAATAATAATAAT